GTCGAAGTCCATCTATTTGCCTTTTAAAAAAAAAAATACTATTTTAGAATTTAAAAAGATAATGGGTAGTTGTGTTCCATTAAAATAGAATTCATTATCTGAATTTTGTTTTAATTTTTATTTTTTTAAATATGAAAAAGTGTGAATTTACCATATTATGCTTATTTAATTAATAATTTTAATTTTTAATATTTGGATTAACCAAGGACATTTTTTGGTATTTTGAATGTTTCACCATTCTTTGTCTTTTGCTTTATATATATATAGATAAATAAAAACAAAAAGCCTTAAAAAAAAAGAAAAAAAGGAAACATCGAAGCTTAGCTAACCACATAAGCAGTATATATATAGAGAGATTTTCTATTTAAACCTCATGCTTCTCTTAGTTCACCTCATGTTAAGTTCACCCCATCTTTTAATTTAAATTTTCACAATTTCTAAGAAGACCCCACTATCTTCCCAAACTACCTTTAAATACATCATAAACTGAAAAAATAAGAAATAAAAGAGATTTTCTATTTAAACCCCACAATTTTCTTTGTTCCTAGCCGAAAAAAACCCAAACAAATGGAACCCAAAACCTGAAATTTAATACTTTCTAGAGAAAAAGAACAACTTTACCTCTCTCCAAGAACTATAACTGGAATTCCAACACTTGGGTATTGTTGAGAGAGAGAGAGAGTTTGTAAACAGGAAGTTGGAAGGAGCTTGTGGTTGGGGAAGGTAGGGGATAATAATCTGGCAATAGGATGTAGATGAGTTTGTATTTTTCTAAAACTTAATATGAAGAGTGGTGGGGTGTGTGTATAGATGTACTAGGGTTAATTATTAAGTTGGATGACCCTTTTTGTCTTTTTACACAATAATAAAACTTACAGCTTAATGATTTAAGTATTGAGGTGAACTAAGAGAAGTGTAGGGTTTAAATAGAAAATCTCTATATATATATATACCCCAAACACTTTCTACTCCCCCTATCATTCTTTTATAAAAAATTAAAAAAAGGTAAGTTTTCTCCTCCAAGAAAAGTACTCTCTTCATTTAAAAACAAAAACAAAAACTTCATAGTTTCTTCTGATTCTCTAGTACGTAATCATCATCATTAATCAATCTCTCTTTGGTTATTTTTTCAATCCTGTGACAATTTTTGTTATTCTTTCAATTTCAGGAATTTCAACACCAAAAAAAGAAAACCCTAATTCCTAAATTCATAAAGACCATCAAAATCAAATAGTCAGCTTCAAATCTCGATTCAAATTCAAGTATATATCTAAAATTTCAATCTATTCTATATATTACATGACTTATTTTATTAAATTATTATCATGTTGGTGATTGGTTATATGAGAATATAGTTTTTAGAAATATTTATTCATTTCTTGCTGGGTTTTCTTCCAGGTTATAAGGGTTTGGAATTTTTCTCTGTTAATGACATTTGTGTGCAACTACTCTTTAATTTGTGATTGCCAATTTTTTTTCCTATTAAACATAGATTGCTTATTGGAGGCAGCAAGGGACTTTGTAGAGGCACAAGGAGCTTATTTTTGTACCAAATATACTAATATTTAACTTTATCAAATGGAAACATTTAAATTTTTATGAATTTGATTTCGGATTGTCATGACATGTTTATTAATGGTGACTTTTACTTACAAAAAAAAATTGTTTATGACATTAAGTTATGTTAAATTTTTATTTATAGTATTTTTGTATTAGATTATGTGAGGCCCAATTCAAGTTTCGCACAAGGCCCTCAAAATCTCAGGAACGGACCTGGTGTATATATAAGTATCATGAACATGCATATAATAACCCAACAATCAAACAAACACCTTGATACAATTACCATTGATGAAACCAATTCTCAGCACTCATCTCCACTTTTCCTTGTTTCTGCACATGATCGTCGTCACCATATTCGTTGCCAGCGATTCACCACCTATCTACAATGCAGTCGAAGATATCACCGTCAATTGTGGCTATTCCGGCCACATATTCAATGCATATGATCAGCGAAATTGGACTGGAGATATCAACTCAAAATTTTCACCCTCTGAACACCAAGCAATTGGCAACACATCCATATTCAAAGAAGCAACAATGCAGTCGAAGATATCACCGTCAATTGTGGCTATTCCGGCCACATATTCAATGCTTATGATCAGCGAAATTGGACTAGAGATATCAACTCAAAATTTTCACCCTCTGAACACCAAGCAATTGGCAACACATCCATATTAAAAAAAGCACCTCATTTGTACACCGTCCAACAAGTGCCTTACACCACAACGAGGCTTTCTCACTCTGAATTTACCTACAGATTTTTTAACCTCACAGCCGGCCAAAAGTTCGTCCGTCTGTATTTCTACCCAGCTTCATACCCCGACTTTGATCCCTCCAAAGCCCTTTTCTCTGTCAAAGCCGGTGGGTTTACCCTTCTCCACGACTTCAATGCGTCAGTCACTGCCGCTGCTTCTGGGCCGGAGGAGACGGTATACAGAGAATTTTGTATGAACATTGAGGAAGAAGAAGAACAGAGTCTAAGCATCACGTTCACTCCAAGCAGAGCAATCCCAGATGCCTACGCATTTATTAACGGAATTGAAATTGTATCAATGCCCATCAATCTTTACTACACTGCACCAGAAAGCGCTGATGGAATTATATATATCGGCAAAGAAAATACGATTCGCCTAGAAAACAGCTCTGCTCTGGAGATGGTGTACCGAATCAACGTGGGTGGAAGCACAGCCCCTTTTTATGAAGACACCGGCATGTACCGCAATTGGTATGATTATACATACGAGAAATGGTACCTGGAGGAGTTAAGTTTAAGGTGGAGTGTTTTGCCACAAAATGTTAGCATCCAACTCAACTGGGATTCAAGTCAAATACCAGAGTACTCTGCTCCAAAACAAGTTTACCAGACGGCCAGGTCAATGGGCAACAACATCACCAGGAACCAGCGCTACAACCTCACCTGGCAATTTCCTGTTGATCCGAACTTTAGTTACCTGGTTAGGCTTCATTTCTGTGAGTTCGAATCCGAAATTACCAAACCCAGAACTCGACAGTTTCAAATTTACATAGCGAATATAAAAGCTGAATTAATGGACGTAATCAGTTGGAGTCGTGGAAATGGAATTCCAATGTACAAAGACTACTTGGTGTTCATGCCTGCAGGAAGCGAGAAGAAAGTCAATCTCTCCATCACACTGCAAGCAATTCCAATACTTTGGATGAGTAGAACATCGGATGCAATCTTGAATGGGCTTGAAATCTTCAAAGTGAATGATACAATGGGAAATCTCGCTGGTCCCAACCCAAATCCACCTCCTACGACCCCGCATACGGCGATGCAATCGAGAACAAGAGACCCCAAGTCAAAGAGTACACCTTTGGTTGCCATTGTTTCCAGCACACTTTTAGTGCTATTTGTTTTGGGAAGTGTGCTATATGTTTTGGGTTTATTCTTGGTTTTCAGGACACAACGTAATTATGGCCACTCAACCCGCAAAGCGACCAACAAAACCAAGTGCCCAGGATCATCCTTACCGTCCGCTTTGTGTCACTGCTTTTTCCTGGCGGAGATCAAAGCCGCCACCCGAAACTTCAG